GGTTGGTGTGGTCACTGGCTGGTGTGGTCACTGGCTGGTGTGGTCACTGACTGGTGTGATCACTGGTTGGTGTGATCACTGGTTGGTGTGGTCACTGGCTGGTGTGGTCACTGGCTGGTGTGGTCACTGGCTGGTGTGATCACTGGCTGGTGTGATCACTGGCTGGTGTGGGCACTGGCTGGTGTGGTCACTGGCTGGTGTGATCACTGGCTGGTGTGGTCACTGGCTGGTGTGGTCACTGGCTGGTGTGGTCACTGGCTGGTGTGGTCACTGGCTGGTGTGGTCACTGGCTGGTGTGGTCACTGGCTGGTGTGGTCACTGGCTGGTGTGGTCACTGGCTGGTGTGGTCACTGGCTGGTGTGATCACTGGCTGGTGTGATCTGTGGGAACCGACCTGTGAGATTTATATTTATTTGATTTATATGAATTTATATTTACGTTAATTTATATACTTCGATAGCAATTTGTATGATGTTAAGTGGACTGTATTTCTGCAATAATCTCATAATCTCACAAATCGATCCTCTACACATTAGGTGGGGGTTTATATTAATTGAATATATATGCAGCCAATCAAACTACAGTATTAAGTACACATTATTAAACATTGAAGAGGTTCCTTATCTTATTTGTACAGCAGGCCTTAGTCCACCAGGTATAACCAGGATGTAGACACCACATTTTCCCTCTTTGAGGTAGCTTCCATCACCCTGGTAACTGATGCACAAAGCATGCTTCCTCGTCTTGACCTGTCAAAAGGGTGCTAACTGTGAAGCCAGGTTCCTAATATATGACAAGCTATATCAGAGAAAACACTGTACATGGAACAATGAAGACCTGGCTTAATTACCTTTAGTATGAGGCTATCTTGTGCTCTAACCGGGTCACCCTATATCCACTGACATTAATGGCCATAAATGAAAGATAAATGGGTTTCGGAAGAACACTTAACTTGTTTTGTTGACAGCGTGTTGAAGATGGTACACCTTTGGTTTCCATAACACTACGTCCAAGTAAAATTAACAGGAGCTGTATTTGCTCCCGTGAGCCTCTCTGGTCTCAGTAAACAATGGCTGCTCCCTCACCACTCCCTGACGCCTGGCTTACATTGTCCAGATGACAGAAAGTGATAGAAGGGTCCCATTTACTCTATTTTGATATTAATAATTAAGTTAATTTATATTAGATGTTTTTCTGATGGTAAAGTCCAAAGACTAATGTATTTAAGAATAATTCCCAGCAGAATAGCTGGTGAATTTATAACAGTATGTGGTGATGATATCCCGTTTTCTATAGACGGTAATTCCACTACAAGTTACGTTTTCTATGGGTTAACTTGTGTATACAATACAGCAATTATTATCTGTCTGTATGTTATATTAAATGGTGTCGGATTTTCCGACATGATCACTGGCTGGTGTGGTCACTGGCTGGTGTGATCACTGACTGGTGTGATCACTGGCTGGTGTGATCACTGGCTGGTGTGGTCACTGGCTGGTGTGATCACTGGCTGGTGTGATCACTGGCTGGTGTGATCACTGGCTGGTGTGATCACTGGCTGGTGTGGTCACTGGCTGGTGTGATCACTGGCTGGTGTGATCACTGGCTGGTGTGATCACTGGCTGGTGTGATCACTGGCTGGTGTGGTCACTGGCTGGTGTGATCACTGGCTGGTGTGATCACTGGCTGGTGTGATCAGCCGCTGCTGTTATTGTTTTCTTAATATAAAAATATTTCTTTACATGGTCAGAGTACATTAATAGGGTCCTCAGTGCTGGTTGCTTCGTCTGCAGGCGCCTGCAGCCTAGCACCAGAGGTGATGGTCAGGACTGTCATAACTAGCGGCCAGTATATTGTTGTGTACGCAGTCTGGTGCTAGTGGCCAGGAGCCTAGTACTAGCATGATGGAACTCGGGAGGGTCATGCATGGCTTGTACTACTAGTAGCTAGTTCTTTGCATATAGTGTTGATGTTTGACATGAAGCCTATCAAACTCTGCAGAGAGTTATCCAGGTCACGCAAGTTCTTACTGACCATCCTGAACTTGCAGGATGGTCGCTGCCTGGTGTGGTCGCCGCCTGGTGTGGTCGCTGCCTGGTGTGGTCGCTGCCTGGTGTGGTCGCTGCCTGATGTGGTCGCCGCCTGGTGTGGTCGCTGCCTGGTGTGGTAACTGCCTGGTGTGGTCGCTGCCTGGTGTGGTCGCCGCCTGGTGTGGTCGCTGCCTGGTGTGGTCGCATTCTGGTGTGGTCGCTGCTTGGTGTGGTCGCTGCCTGGTGTGGTCGCTGCCTGGTGTGGTCGCTGCCTGGTGTGGTCGCCGCCTGGTGTGGTCGCCGCCTGGTGTGGTCGCCGCCTGGTGTGGTCGCTGCCTGGTGTGGTCGCTGCCTGGTGTGGTCGCTGCCTGGTGTGGTCGCTGCCTGGTGTGGTCGCCGCCTGGTGTGGTCGCTGCCTGGTGTGGTCGCTGCCTGGTGTGGTCGCTACTGGTGTGGTCGCTGCCTGGTGTGGTCGCTGCCTGATGTGGTCGCTGCCTAGTGTGGTCGCTGCCTGGTGTGGCCGCTGCCTGGTGTGGTCGCCGCCTGATGTGGTCACTGCCTGGTGTGGTCGCTGCCTGGTGTGGTCGCTGCCTGGTGTGGTCGCTGCCTGGTGTGGTCGCTGCCTTGTGTGTCGCTGCCTGGTGTGGTCGCCGCCTGATGTGGTCACTGCCTGATGTGGTTGCTGCCTGGTGTGGTCGCCGCCTGGTGTGGTCGCTGCTGGTGTGGTCGCTGCCTGGTATGGTCGCCGCCTGGTGTGGTCGCTGCTGGTGTGGTCGCTGCCTGGTGTGGTCGCCGCCTGATTTGGTCGCTGCCCGGTGTGGTCGCTGCCTGGTGTGGTCGCCGCCTGGTGTGGTCGCCGCCTGGTGTGGTCGCCGCCTGGTGTGGTCGCTGCCTGGTGTGGTCGCCGCCTGGTTTGGTCGCCGCCTGGTGTGGTCGCCGCCTGGTGTGGTCGCCGCCTGGTGTGGTCGCTGCCTGGTGTGGTCGCAGTCTGGTGTGGTCGCTGCCTGGTGTGGTCGCTGCCTGGTGTGGTCGCCGCCTGGTGTGGTCGCTGCTGGTGTGGTCGGTGCCTGGTGTGGTCGCCGCCTGATGTGGTCGCCGCCTGGTGTGGTCGCTGCCTGGTGTGGTCGCTGCTTGGTGTGGTCGCCGCCTGGTGTGGTCGCCGCCTGGTGTGGTCACCGCCTGGTGTGGTCGCCGCCTGGTGTGGTCGCTGCCTGGTGTGGTCGCCGCCTGGTGTGGTCGCTGCCTGGTGTGGTCGCTGCCTGGTGTGGTCGCTGCCTGGTGTGGTCGCTGCCTGGTGTGGTCGCTGCCTGGTGTGGTCGCCGCCTGATGTGGTCGCTGCCTGGTGTGGTCGCCGCCTTGTGTGGTCGCCGCCTGGTGTGGTCGCTGCCTGGTGTGGTCGCTGCCTGGTGTGGTCGCTGCCTGGTGTGGTCGCTGCCTGGTGTGGTCGCCGCCTGGTGTGGTCGCCGCCTGGTGTGGTCGCCGCCTGGTGTGGTCGCCGCCTGGTGTGGTCGCCGCCTAGTGTGGTCGCCGCCTGGTGTGGTCGCCGCCTGGTGTGGTCGCCGCCTGGTGTGGTCGCCGCCTGGTGTGGTCGCCGCCTGGTGTGGTCGCCGCCTGGTGTGGTCGCCGCCTGGTGTGGTCGCCGCCTGGTGTGGTCGCCGCCTGGTGTGGTCGCCGCCTGGTGTGGTCGCTGCCTGGTGTGGTCGCAGCCTGGTGTGGTCGCCGCCTGGTGTGGTCGCCGCCTGGTGTGGTCGTTGCCTGATGTGGTCGCTGCCTGGTGTGGTCGCCGCCTGGTGTGGTCGCCGCCTGATGTGGTCACTGCCTGGTGTGGTCGCTGCCTGGTGTGGTCACTGGCTGGTGTGGTCACTGGCTGGTGTGGTCACTGGCTGGTGTGATCACTGACCGGTGTGGTCACTGGCTGGTGTGGTCACTGGGTGGTGGGGCCACTGGCTGGTGTGGTCACTGGTTGGTGTGGTCACTGGCTGGTGTGATCACTGGTTGGTGTGGTCACTGGCTAGTGTGGTCACTGGGAGGTGTGGTCACTGGCTGGTGTGGTCACTGACTGGCGTGGTCACTGGCTAGTGTGGTCACTGCCAATGTGGTCACTGCCTGGTGTGGTCACTGGGTGGTGTGGTCACTGGGTGGTGTGGTCACTGGCTGGTGTGGTCACTAGCTGGTGTGGTCACTGGTTGGTGTGGTCACTGGCTGGTGTGATCACTGGTTGGTGTGGTTACTGGTTGGTGTGGTCACTGGCTGGTGTGGTCACTGGCTGGTGTGGTCACTGGCTGGTGTGGTCACTGGCTGGTGTGGTCACTGGCTGGTGTGGTCACTGGCTGGTGTGGTCACTGGCTGGTGTGATCACTGGTTGGTGTGGTCACTGGCTGGTGTGGTCACTGGCTGATGTGTTCACTGGCTGGTGTGGTCACTGGCTGGTGTGGTCACTGGCTGTTGTGGTCACTGGGTGGTGTGGTCACTGGCTGGTGTGATCACTGGCTGGTGTGGTCACTGGCTGGTGTGATCACTGGCTGGTGTGGTCACTGGTTGGTGTGGTCACTGGCTGGTGTGGTCACTGGCTGGTGTGGTCACTGGCTGGTGTGGTCACTGGCTGGTGTGATCTCTGGTTGGTGTGGTCACTGGCTGGTGTGGTCACTGGCTGGTGTGGTCACTGGCTGGTGTGATCTCTGGTTGGTGTGGTCACTGGCTGGTGTGGTCGCTGCCTGGTGTGGTCGCTGCCTGGTGTGGTCGCTGCCTGGTGTGGTCGCCGCCTGGTGTGGTCGCCGCCTTTTGTGGTCGCCGCCTGGTGTGGTCGCCGCCTGGTGTGGTCGCTGCCTGGTGTGGTCGCCGCCTGGTGTGGTCGCCACCTGGTGTGGTCGTCGCCTGGTGTGGTCGCCGCCTGGTGTGGTCGCCGCCTGGTGTGGTCGCTGCCTGGTGTGGTCGCCGCCTGGTGTGGTCGCCGCCTGGTGTGGTCGTCGCCTAGTGTGGTCGCTGCCTGGTGTGGTCGCCGCCTGGTGTGGTCGCCGCCTGGTGTGGTCGCCACCTGGTGTGGTCGTCGCCTGGTGTGGTCGCCACCTGGTGTGGTCGCTGCCTGGTGTGGTCGCCGCCTGGTGTGGTCGCCGCCTGGTGTGGTCGTCGCCTGGTGTGGTCGCTGCCTGGTGTGGTCGCCGCCTGGTGTGGTCGCCGCCTGGTGTGGTCGCCACCTGGTGTGGTCGCCACCTGGTGTGGTCGTCGCCTGGTGTGGTCGCCACCTGGTGTGGTCGCCGCCTGGTGTGGTCGCCGCCTGGTGTGGTCGCCGCCTGGTGTGGTCGCTGCCTGGTGTGGTCGCTGCCTGGTGTGGTCGCTGCCTGGTGTGGTCTCTGCCTGGTGTGGTCGTCGCCTGGTGTGGTCGTCGCCTGGTGTGGTCGTCGCCTGGTGTGATCGTCGCCTGGTGTGGTCGCCGCCTGGTGTGGTCGCCGCCTGGTGTGGTCGCCGCCTGGTGTGGTCGCCGCCTGGTGTGGTCGCCGCCTGGTGTGGTCGTCGCCTGGTGTGGTCGCTGCCTGGTGTGGTCGCTGCCTGGTGTGGTCGCCACCTGGTGTGGTCGCTGCCTGGTGACTCAGCATCGTTCAGGCTCCTCATTGCTGCTGACTCTAAGTGTGATCGAGGGGGGCGGGGTGGGGGGCGTGCCCCTAATTGCTGGGTGTTGTGTGATATATGAGAGCGGCGACGCCACATGTCGCCGTGGTGGAGATTAATAATGTAGACTCGCCGTGAGGTGTGTTGTTGATGTGAGCCGTGTTTGGTCTCTCGGGTCACAACGACGGCGAGTGATGAACAGCGTTAGTTCTGTTGGTTCCCTTCGTGTTCCTCCCCCCCGTTAGGCACTCCCAGCTCAGCCCTTCCCACAGCTGTAGTCACACGCGCTCTCTGGACATACTGTCCCGTTTTCTGTTTTGGGTCATCTGGTAGGTTTGGAGAGGACACTGTAATAAACTGTGCTGTGGCAGGATATATATACCCTAAGAGGTGTATACATATCCCGCTTATCGGCGCATATTTTCAATTTATTTTAGTTCTGAGGTAAACTTGCTTGCTGGTTAGCAGGTTAGTCACGGTTTTCATAACTCTCCAGAGGTTGATAGAGCTTAAACAGCACAACATCAGACAGAGCCTGGCCTGGGTGGCTGGTAATCTGGAATATTTAACCGTGTCATGCATACATACGTATCTTGGCGTCATACACATATATCCTCAGGGACTTGGCATCATACACAGGTATCCTTAGGGACCTGGCATCATACAAAGGTATCCTCAGGGGCCCGGCGTCATACACAGGTATCCTTAGGGACGCGGTGTCATCACATTTCCTTGTTACCGTCGTCTGATGCCATGGAATTTCCTGTCTTGAACACAGCGGATACAGGCACTGAGAATTATTTGTGGAATGAAAAAACATTACAAATACAGGATTTTCAGAACAAATGATACTTGGCGTCAGTTGCATAAGGTGGGTAAGGTATAGTCGAGTAGGGTAAATGAGGACTAGAAGTGTCCCCCTCCACTTTGAGGACGGCGGGCAAAACCCGTAGACTTAAATTTGGTGGGCAAAACCCATGTACTTATTTTGTTGGATAAAAAAAATGAACTGCAAATCTACGGCTAAACAGCTGGCTGACCTCCACACAAGCAGAACTAGCGGAATTACAACTAGCTACCAGTACATTAAAAAACATTGGAAGAGGAATAATCAAAGTCTGCTCTTCAAGCAGTCAAAACTTCTCGTGGAAGATCGAAAGCTAGAATCTCAAACGACAAAGAGTTAAGGGTTTCGAATATCCTTTGTATGGATACCATCACACATAAATATAACCCATCATAATGAGATAGACATTGCAGCCAAATAGGCATGTAACAAAGATGAAGTTGAATTAGAGCTAGGTATCCCCATCTTTGCTGTCAAAACTATATTGTTCCAAACACTCAGGTCTGATTGGAAAGAAATTACTGACTCCCAACGACCTGAAAGCATCAGTATAAAAAGCTATGATTTGCTCAGATATGAAACGTATTTTTATGGGCAGCACAAAACCTCCACCAGACTGCCACAGTGGTTGCCAGGATCAGGTTGGGTTACCGTATCTCCCAATCCTGAGCACTCTAAGTGTTAACTCTGTGAGCAGGAACAGCGGCATGATCTCCCCACACTACATCACCGAATGCCCAGTTATTAGACCATTCAGACCCGTTGGCATGAGATACCTGGAGCTTTGCAATTACTTTATTCACTCCTGTGTTCTTGACGATATCCTCATATTGCACCCAAAATTTGCCAGGCTACTGACCATATGGCCCTGTATGACTAACCATCCTGCGAGATGGGGACTTTTAGTATCACTGCTACCTTATTCACTCTCGTGTTGATGATATCCTCATAATGCACCCGGAGTCTGTCAGTGCAGACTACGTATCAAATGCCTCTATATGTCTAATTATCCTGTATGGTGGGGATTTTTTATCATCACGTAGCTTGTTTTTTGACACTGTACTCCCCTTCATATAGTCTAGGGTAGCTGCACAAATGCAGATGTTCCTAATGTATTAATAAAAAAAATTGAGTTAAATTAGAAGCAGTGAGCAAACCATTAGACTTGAAATGAGATGCAGTAGCCTTATTGTTAAAAAAGTAGTGTTCAAACTAAAGACTTGGTTCATAAGTGGGTGGCAAACCCTTAGAGATAATACAGAAGTAGTGTTCAAGCCCCATAGTCTTAATTCAGAAGTGAAGTACAGAGACCAAAGAAAGAGAGAAGCCTTGTATCTGGTATCTACCACTACTAGTTCAGTTATTTCTCACTACAACTAATACACCCACAAGCACAAGCCGCCACCACCCACTATTACGACAACCTATTTTAACATCATAATTTACCCATAAGACTGACAGACAGACAGACAGAGTGTGAGAGAGAGAGAGAGAGAGCGACAGAGAGAGAGAGAGTGTTGTCGTGTCCCCGGTGATGAGTTGTCGTGTCCCCGGTGATGAGTTGTCGTGTCCCCGGTGATGAGTTGTCGTGTCCCCGGTGATGAGTTGTCGTGTCCCCGGTGTTGAGTAGTCGTGTCCCCGGTGTTTGTACTCACCTAGTTGTGCTTGCGGGGATTGAGCTTCGGCTCTTTGGTACCGCCTCTCAACAGTCAATCTACTGGTGTACAGATTCCTGAGCTTCTCGAGCTCTATCATATCTACATTTGAAACTGTATGAAATTAACCTCCACCACATCACTTCTTAGTGCATTCCATTTACTAACTACTCTGACATTCTTTCTAATGTCTCTGTGGCTCATTTGGGAACTCGGCTTTCACCTGTGTCGCTTTGTGCATGTACCTCTCGTGTTAAATAATCCATCCTGGTCTACCCTGTCAATTCCCTTGAGAATTTTGTATGTGGTGATCATGTCACCCCGAGCTCTTCTGTCTTCCAGCAATGTGAGGTGCAGTTCACACAGCCTTTCCTTGTAACTCAGGCATCTTAGTTCTTCAACTAGCCTAGTGACATACTGTACCTCCGAACTTTTTTCAGCTTCGTCTTGTGCTTGATAAGGTACAGACTATGCTGGGGTCGCATACTCCAGGATTAGTCTTACATATGTTGTATACATGGTTCTGAACGATTTCTGAAGGCAGTTCTGATGTTATCCAGCCTTGCATACACTGCTGATGTTATTGTTTTGATGTAGGCTTCAGGTTTCAGGAGGCAGGTTTGGCGTGATATCAACTCCAAGATCTTTCTCTCTGTCCGTTTCATGAAGGATTATATCTCCCATTCGGTATCCAGTGTCTGGTCTCCTATTTCCTCTGCCTAGTTTCATTACTTTACATTTACTTGGGTTCAACTTTACTAGCCCTGGACCATTTGTTGGACCATTCCTTTAGTTTGTCTAGGTCATCTTCTGGAATGTTCCAGCGTCCCACATGTTTGTTATAAACAACGGCCGTTCCATACACGAGGTCTGTCCACACAGCTGCCTCACTCTGCACTGTTTAGAGGCAATTAGTGTCATGATCAAGCCAATAAGGTGGGAACGCCGACCATTAGTGCCACTGGGTTAAGATGACATTATTAGATTTAATTATTTTTCACCGGACCAGAGCGAGGCGATCTAAAAAGTGCCTAAACCTAATGAAGATTTTTTTATATTTCTTTTTACAGATAAACGAGAACTTAGTTATACCTTTAAGAAAGAATGTCTGTCTGTCAGTCCAAAGTTGGTGGCCAGACGCTTGGGGCTAACCTCACTCAAATTGATAGAGAGAATGGTCTAGTGTATGGGATGAACATAGGGCCAGTCGAGGTCGCCAAGATTCAAAGGAAAACAACATGTCAGGATCACAGTCAGTCCACCACGACAACTCTTGGCACAGACCGTCGGCTACACAGCTAAATATTTTGAAAACAAACATAAAAAAATACTTATAGTAATTTACATCATTATTTATTGATCTCGGGAAAATTAACAGCAATTTCTTACTGCCCATTATTTGCCTACATAAAATAATGGGCAGTAATAAATAATGCCCGCATAAAATAATAGACACTTACTGCCCATTATTATGCATATAGGTGCATAAAACAGAAGGTCCTTCACAACTTCTAAGATCTCTCCCCAGACCTTCCCTTCCTGTGGGGTAAGTATTAAATCTTTTAACATTTCACACCACTTGGGGGAGAGGGAGAGAGAGAGACACACACAGAGAGAATGGGACAGACGGATTGAGATAGACAGAAGCAAAGACAGAGAAAGGCAGACAAAGACAGACAGACAGGAATAGGTAGACAGACAATATGAGACAATATGATGCATGGGACAATATGAGACAGAGAGAGTAGATAAATAAATGGAGAGATTGATGGATAGACAGATTGAAAGATGGATTGATGGATGAATAGATGAATAGATGATTATATATATATATATATATATATATATATATATATATATATATATATATATATATATATATATATATATATATATATAGATTGAATGATGGATGGATAGGTATATAGTTAGTTGGAGAGATATATAGATGGATGGACAGAAAAATAGATTAATAGACAGATGGATGGATAAATAGATAGAAAGATGATCAGACAAATGTAAAGATAGATGAATAAGTGGATAGCTAGATAGATATATGGATAGGCATACGAGTCGATAGATGAATAGCTGGGAGGATAGATTCATCTATCCAGTCAAGGATGGATAGATTAATAGATGATAGATAGCTGGCTAGTCCGATGGATGGAAAGATGAATATAGATAATAGTTGGATAGCCAGATGGCATAGAAAGATAGATGGATGGAGAGGTGCACAGATGGATGGACAAATGCATGGATGGCTCTATGGATAGAAAGATAGTTGAATAGATGGATATATGGATAATTGGATTGATATATGAATAGATGTATACATATCAATATCTATGCTTATCAATATCTATCCATATAAATATTTATATATCCATCTCAATATGTATCATATAAATATCTATCCAATTCTATATCCATATGCATATACAGTATACATATACATGCTCTTGATACACTCTCGATACCCAGAGGCTTCAAGTCCTCAATAACCCACATTCACAGGATTTGATCTTTTTTTCTCTATTGGTGGGGTGGGGCCCCTTGGCTGGTGATAGGAGGAGGGTGGGTCCCTGGGCTGGTGATAG